CGTGGCGGGCCGGCCCCGCGCCCCGCGTGCCGACAGCGGCCGGGCGGGCGCGGCAGCCATGGCATTTCCGGTTCCTGCCGACGACGGTACCGCACCTCTCGGTTCGGCCGAAAGGGGGGGATTGGGAAAGGGGCCCGACCTTTGGGGGTCGACGTTGTGTGAGAAAGCCACGACGTCGGGGGTGTGGGGGCATGGGGGGCCCCGGAGGGTGCTTGCCGTTCTCGGGTTCCCAGGCCCCGGGATGGGCACAGCGCGTGCCATATGGGGGAGGTCCCTGGGGCCCCAGAGCCGCTGTCACAGGGACTCCTTTTCCCTCCTGCCAGTCGGGCCGGACGAAAGGGGGGGATTGGGAAAGGGGGGGTTACGAAATCTGCTGCATGCAGCTGGTTTCGGCCCCACCGAGGAGCCCACTCCTCGATACATGGCCGCCTCCGGCGCCGGGAGGCGCCGGGAAAATCAGCTACGTGAGCTGATTCTCAAACCCCCCCTTTGCTATCCCCCCCTTTCGCCCGACCCGAACCTCGCGCGCCCAGGAGCCGGAGCCCAGGCTGCGACGCACAGGCGCTCAGGGAAGGCTCTGTCTGTCAAGTTGTCGGACCGCGTCGCAGAGCCGAGTGTGGAGAATTTCCCCGAAGACCTCCCTGCCGTCTGAGGAGGGCCTCGCTGGAACCGGAGCCCCTGAGCGAAAGAAGGGCGTACACGTGCGTGAATCCGCGCTGGTTTCGAGAGTACGCGCTGCCCGAGTGTTCGCATCACGCGGCCAGTCTCGCGGATCGAGGGGCCGTGTTCATGTACATAGCTGGGCGCGTACGTCCTTTGTGGGCTCCCCATGTGTGGGGGCAGTGACCGATGAGCCCGCGTCGCGGGCCAAGGGAAGGCAGTTGAGAAGGAAGCGAGTGGCCGTACGACAATCTTCGGTGGCCACGTGCGACCTGTGCAATCACCCCACGTCGGCTGCAATCACGCCTGCACCCAACCCATGGAGCAGATCCTGAACCCCCGATGTTTTTGCTCCGCGAGTGAGTGGCAGCTCTGCGCCAGATCGGGCTTGACTTGCAGACGATACGACAATCAACAGACTCAGGATTGAATAGGAATGCTCCAGAGTTCGTCCTTCTTGCATCGCTGGACGGATGCAAGCGTATCGCCAGACTCCATCAGCTACGATAGTTCAGACAACAGGCGTACAGCTGAGCGACAGCACTGCCAACTGCGCATGTACAGACAAAGCAATAAACCCGGACTTGCTTGTCCTGTAGAGGGGGACAGTGGCGCATCAAGAGGTGGTTCAAGACATGGTGCATCAAAAAGGGAGCAGGTTTCAGGGTGGCGCTGACAAGCACGCGCCCGATGCCGGCAGCTACGAGACTGGCACAGCGAAGCACGAATTCCACGCCATCCACTACGAGGGTGGTGCCGGAAAACACGAATCCGACTGCGACCGGTACGAGGGAGGTGGGGCGAAGCACGAGGCCAACGTCGTCAGCTGCGGGGGAGGCCGAGCGAAGCACAAGCCCGACGCCATCAGCTACGAGGGTGGTGCAACGAAGCCGAGTACGACAGTTGGGCCGCGAAGCACGAGCCCGCCGTCATCAGCTGCTGAGTTGGGGCCGGTCCCTCGTGCGAGAAGGGCCGGCAATGGTGCGAAAAAGGGCGGGCAGTGGCGCGAGAAAGGCGGGCAGTGGTGCGGGAAAGGCGGGCAGAGGTGCGAGAAGGGGCGGGCAGTGGTGCGAAAAGCGTGGGCAGCGGTGCGAGAAGGGCGAGCAGCGGTGCAAGATGGGCCGGCGGTGGTGCGAGATGGGCCGGCAGCGGCGCTAGTAGGGCCAGGAGTGGTGCGAAAAGGGCCGGCGGTGGTGCGAGCAGAGCCGGCGGGTGGGACTGTGGTAGCAGCGGTGCGTGACAGGCCAGCAGCGGTGCGAGACGGGCTGGCAGTGGTGCGAGACGGGCCGGCAGTGGTGCATGAATTGTTAGCAGCAGTGCTAGAAGTGCCGGCAGGTGGGGCAGTGGCGGCAGAGGTTGGTTTAGGAGCTCCGTGGGAGAGGTGGAGGAGGAAGCGGGGGAAGCGGGGCGAAGCGCGAGCCCAACGTCGTCAGTTATGGGGTGGTCACACGAAGCACAAGCCCGACGCCACCAGCTCTGAGGATGGCACGACGAAGCGCGAGTTCGATGCCATCAGCTATGATGGTGGCACGGCTGCGAAGTACGAGCCCGACGTGATCAGCTACAGTGTTAGGGCCAGCCCCCTCATGCGAGAAGGCCCAGCTGTGGTGCGAAAAGGGCCAGCAGTGGTGCGTGAATGGCAGGCAACGGTGCGAGACTGGCGGGCAGCGGTGCGAGAAGGACCGGCAGTGGTGCGTGACGGGCCGGCAGAGGTGCGAAAGGGGCGGCAGTGGTGCGAGACGGGCCAGCAGTGGTGCGAGAAGGGCCCGCAGTGGTGCGAGAAGGGCCCGCAGGTGGGGCAGTGGCGGCAGGGGTTGGATACAAGACGCAATCAGCTACAGCGCGGCACGCGGAACGCCATGTCCGCACCGTTTTCAGTGCTCTTGCAGGCTTGTGCACCGCCCGCTATGCATATGCACTTGCTCGTTTGGGCTACGCGGACATCGCGAGGAGCAAAAGAGAAACCGAGGAGGATAATGAGCAGGGTATATCTGACTGCGAGTCGGGGGACGTTGGGGTCCACGCGCTGCTCGACATGGCGTACAAGCGTATTGATAGCACGACAGCCCGACGAGGCATACAGGGTACTCCAACATTTCTACAAAGCCGCTCCACAAACCATGTGGCATCCTGGTATCCAGCACCTGCGCGACAACATGGTTATGTGCCTCAGCGACGGGCAGTGCTGTGAGCACCTGGTGGAGGAACAATGGCATATATCAGGGTGAGGGGGCCGAGCGGCCATTCACTGTTTCTGGGCGCGTGGCTGAAGTGAGTTTCCGCAGGTCGGATTGTTGCTGTTGCGTTGTTTGTTGCTTGTTGTTTGTTGTATGTTGCTTGCCGTGTGTTGTTGTCGTCCCGCCCGCGAGCCATCCGCGACCCATCCGCGACCCGCCCGCGACCCGCCCGCGATCCCAACCGCGTCCCACCCGCGACCCATCCGCGACCCACCCGAGACCCACCCGCGACCCACCCGCAACCCGCCCTTGATCCATCCGCGACCCGGCCCGCGACACGCCCGCGGCCCACCCTTGACCCGCCCTTGACCCACCCGCAACCCACCCGTGAGCGGCCCCGCGACCCCCCCGCGACCCCCCCGCGACCCCCCACGATGACAGTGCAGATGATGGTGCCATTGTAGATGGCAATGCTAAAAATCATGATGGGGAGAAGAAGATGGTGAAAGTGAAGTACCCGAGCTATGGAGTAACCCCACAAAGGTATGAAATCAAACTCCAGCAAGCTGACCGTCCTGAGGAAGGTCGTGGTCCAGAGGATGTAGCCTTTTCAGCCATGTCGGTACCCAAAACCACCATCGCCCATAGTGCTGATGCTGAGTGGTTAGAAGAGCAGGAGGAGGAGAAACATAATGATAGTAAAAAGGCCTCTCTCATCTACTCCCTCCTGCCGCCCCTCATCGCGTCCTCCCGCTCCCCCTTTCCATCGTCATCCGTCTTTCATCCAGCCTTCATCCTTCGTTTTGCGCCCTGCTGTGGCCTGCCGCCCCTCCTCTTACTCCTCCTCCTCGTCCTCCTGCTCGTCCTCCTCCCCTGACTCCGTTGTAAACCTCCTCGGCAGTCGTTCTGCTGGCGCTTCTTCCTGCCCTCGTCGCCATCATCCTTGTCGTTGTCGTCTTATCGTCATCCCCCTGCCCCTCGCGCCCCTCATCATCCCTCGTCTTGCCTATTGCCTTCCTCTGCCATTGACTCTCCTCTTTCTTTTCCTCTTCCTCCCTCATCCCTTTCCTCCCGTCCATCCTTCTCCGCTTCCGAAAGAGGGAAGGAGAGAGGGAGGGAAGATGCAAAGGGGGAGGGGGAGGAGGAGGAGGAAGAATGATACACATAATATTTACCAGCATCATCAACATCATAATAGTACTACTACTACTACTACTACTACTACTACTACTACTACTACTACTACTACTACTACTACTACTACTACTACTACTACTACGACTACTGCTGCTGCTACTACTACTACTACTACAACTAAGACTACTACTATTACTACTACTGCTACTGCTACTGCTACTGCTACTGCTAGTGCTACTACAACGGCTACCACTACTACTACTACTACTACTACTACTACTACTACTACTACTACTACTACTACTACTACTACTACTACTACTACTACTACTACTACTACTACTACTACTACTACTACTACTACTACTACTACTACTACTACTACTACTACTACTACTACTACTACTACTACTACTACTCTTTTCCTCTTCCTCCCTCATCCCTTTCCTCCCGTCCATCCTTCTCCGCTTCCGAAAGAGGGAAGGAGAGAGGGAGGGAAGATGCAAAGGGGGAGGGGGAGGAGGAGGAGGAAGAATGATACACATAATATTTACCAGCATCATCAACATCATAATAGTACTACTACTACTACTACTACTACTACTACTACTACTACTACTACTACTACTACTACTACTACTACTACTACTACTACTACGACTACTGCTGCTGCTACTACTACTACTACTACAACTAAGACTACTACTATTACTACTACTGCTACTGCTACTGCTACTGCTACTGCTAGTGCTACTACAACGGCTACCACTACTACTACTACTACTACTACTACTACTACTACTACTACTACTACTACTACTACGACTACGACTACGACTACGACTACGACTACGACTACTACTACTACTACTACTACTACTACTACTACTACTACTACTACTACTACTACTACTACTTTACTACTACTACTACTACTACTACTGCTACTACTGCTACTACTAGAACTACTACTACTACTTCTACTACTACTACTACTGCTACTACTAGTACTACTACTACGACTTC